CCGGTATGAGGGTGAAACGGGCCGTCCCCATACCCCGTCCGGTATGGGTGCCAAAACACATAAGATCTCCATACCCCGTCCGGCATGTGAGACCACAATCCCGGTAGGGTTCCCTACGGACCCGGTCCGTCTACCATCTCCCAGGATATCTAGTCAGGCCGATCCCATCATACAATTATCAGTCTACACAATCTTTCATTTTCCTCTTCCTCAGTAAGCATTATCAATTCACATTTTAAACAAGCAAATCGTAATTCATGCCAAACAGACAACATACGGTATCAGTTTTTCAGTCATTCAACCCATAACCAATAAAAACGTAATATATGCACACGAAACTATAAAATAAACACATCAAACCTCATACTGTATTTAAAGCTGTAAAACAGGCCAAATAACAGTAAATCATCAATCACACTAGACTCGGGCTCCATTAGCAACCTTAAGCAATTTCACACATTCGTTAATTCAAGAAATACCGTTTTATCATTTTGAACTTTAATACCGTGATAGGAAATAGGGTGAGGGGTCCTTACTCGTTTCGGGGTCCAAACACGGCTTCGCAGTGCGCTTGCAGGCTGTCCCTAATTTTCCCTGAATTTTCCTCGGGGAACTGAAACGCACTACTAGTACCTGCACGTGTTCCAAAAAAAATCCCAAATTAGGCCCAGGGCCCCTTTCGGCCCAAATCGCAACTCCGGCACGGCGGCTCCGCCGTGCTCCGGCGACGGCGACGCCGCTGACGGCGGCGAGTCGCCTCGGGTTGGCTGTTTTCGGCCGTTTCCGGCCGAATTCGGCCACACTCGCATCGGTCCCTGTGAGGAAACAACCCTAGGGCCCTCGGGGGGCCAAAAAATCACGGAAAAACGGAGCTTACCGGCGGCGGCGCTCTTGGGTGCGGCGGCTCTCCGGCGAGGTTCGTGTTTTGGTGATTCGGCTCTGGTCAACCTGTAGAGAAAAGAATGGTGATCACGGTGATATAAAAATTGCATCAAACGGAGGCCGGAAAGGGCCTCATCGGAGGCAAAAACCGAGAAGGGGCGCGGCGGCGCCGCTGGGCTTCGGCCGTGTATTCCGGCCGTTTGGCCAGGATTTTGGCTCCGATTTGGCCACAGGAGGAATCAGCGTGGAAAAACGAGTCGGGGGTACGAAATTTACCTCGATCGGCGGTCGGAAGTTCCTCCGGTGCGGCGGCGGGTGGCGGCGGCCGGCTTCTGGTTCGTCTTCTCTAGCGAGCGGCAGGCGGCTAGGGTTTGTGGTCTGGTGTGGGGGTTCTATTTATAACCCCTTGCCCTTTGATTTCAGCCGTCCATTTTGTTTTAATCTGGGTCGTCCATTTTTGATTGAATCTGGGCCGTCCGTGCGATTGCATCTGGGTCGTCCGATCGCGCGATTGATCTGGGCCGTCCGATCGCGCTCACGCGGATCGCCAACGTGGCCCGTTCCGGAGTGACGTGGTCTTGCCACGTGGCAGGCCCCGGTTGGCCGGGATTGCTGACGTGGCTTCTCTTTTTTTTTTTTTTCGACCCCTTTTCTCCGGGCGCTACAATAATTACAAGTTACTAATGGAGCCGGAACTAGTTAGTTCTATATTTTTCATGTTTAACTGATGGTTGAATTTACAACTTTAAATACATGATGATATACTAAAATGCTTGTCTTGCGTGATTTACGGTCAAGTTGTAAAATTAAAAATTAATGTGCAAACGAAAATTTGATTGGTCACGTAAATTAATGAATGGTAATCTTACTTGATATCTTAAGAGATGATGGATGGATATGGTACATAGAGAATCCTACCGTGAATGTTACCTCATACCGGAATCGAGGAATGATATTTTTGTCGCTCATACTGGACGGTGAATGAAGACGACCCGATTTACCCTCATTTCGGACGGTGTATTGAGAGATGATATTTTTGGCGCTCATACCGGACGGAATATGGAGACAGCCAGTTCGTTGACAATATTAAATATTAGTTCACGTATAGTGGGACATCCTATGAGCTCCCAATGATACTAGTAGACAAATAAAAATAGAAAGTGGTTGCTATTGATCACTTGAAAATAAAATTAGAATGTTATTTGAATTATTGTATCTCTATAGGTCGATTTTAGAAATCTCGCAACAGTAAATATATGCAATAAATAGTTTTTTCTTATGATAAATGAATTTACTTAAATCAAGAGCTCCATTTGTTATTTTTATAATTTTTACCAACCTTTAGTTTTTGTATCGGTGAGTAGTGTGATATTCTTACTAAGCTAGTGTAACTCACCATTTCAT